CTCACTAATGCCTAAGATATCGATGTTGATGCGTTCCATTTCATTTTTGACAACTTCCAATCAATTCCTGTCATTTATAGCCACCCACTTTGTGGTGGTTTTTTGGCAGCCCTTGGAACTACTTTATATTATATGGTGGGTTTTTGGTTTTTTTTTTTTCATTTAAAGGCATGTTTTTAAATATATTTGATAATTAGCTGTTAGTTAGTTTTCATCCACATTGACTGTAGGGTTTTGAAAGCGGTGACAGGCACACGGACCACCAGTGTCCAGAGCTTGTCTGGTGCATCTTCATAATCATTATGCTTCCTGGATAACCGCATGCGGATATGGTGCGGGACGTTCCTGATTCCTTTGGCCCAGGCCGCTTTGTTGAGCCTGGTGTCAATGCACATGTCTGGTGTTCCTATCTCAGCAAATTTCTGAATCTCCCTGAGTGCTCAAGGGGAACTCTTCTTGAAGCCTACTCCATGGATGCGCCTGTGAATGTTGATGGTGCACTCTCTGGTCACCACTTGGCTGTTGTGAATGCTGACGGTGTACTGTCTGGTCATCACCTGACTGTTGTGAATGTTGACAGTGTACTTGTCTGGTGTCTGACAGTGTACTCTCTGGTCACCACTAGGTTGCCACCCAGGAGCCATAACGATGGGACCAGGTTGAAAAGAAAGGTGGAAATTGAGGCTGTTTAGCTTTTCCCCAAATTTCTTAAGAAATGATCTAAGATTAAAATCCTAGAAGCTAGAGGGGTAATCAGAGTCCTTCAGCCTTTCCCTTCTTCTCTCCCTCCCATCTTCCCACTTCATCTGCCAATGGAGAGTTGTGTGTTGCTATAATACTGAGCAGGTTTCAGCAGTGTTTCTGGACTAGGAGACTAGAAAGAAAGGCCTGGTAATCTACGTCTGAAAACAATGAAAATCCTATGGCTCACAGTGATCTGATCTATAACCCACCATGGGATGGCACAGAGCTGGGAGCACTGTGTGCCATTGTGATGGTGTTGCCATGAGTCAAAGGTCAAGTTGACAGAGGCCAACACCACTAGGTTTCAGGCTCTGAAGACACTCAATGAGCAGAGTGATGCCAGGGAGCAGAGAAGTCACGAATGAACAGTGGATACACATCCCGGCCCCCAGGCATGAGCTCCTCAGGTGTTTAGGACCCCGTGGACTCTTAGCTGTGGAGGCAGGGACACCAGTAGGGAGAACTCACCTGGACTCCTGTGTCCTGGGGCAGGGGCCCCGGACTGCTGTCGAAGATGAGAACTTCTTGGGTGATATTGGCGGTTGGGAGGGTGGTGTGGGAGGACTCTCCCCCCTTCCAGGTCCAAGGGAGGTGTCCTTGGGCAGCAGGTCATAGCTCCAGGCGGTGGGTTGGTGGTCAGGGGAGAGGGTCTGCTTTCCAAAGGGTCCCATGCCCATGTAGTTGGGGTTGATAATCTCGGTGGGGCCACCGCATAGAAGGACCCTGCAGGGGGGATACACAGTCAGACCCAGGGACCCCCTTCCTTTCTCAGGCTAAGAACAGGGTTCTCTGTGAGGACCCCACAGACTTCTCTTCAGCTCCTCCACCTCTGTGTGAGCTGTAGGTTTGTCATTCAAGCAACAAAATAATTTCTGAAGGCCTGGTTGTGGTGGTTGGATGCCACCAAGTCAGTGCCAACTCATAGTGACACTATTTGGGGTTTCTAAGTAGGTTTGAACTACTGACCTTGGAATTAGCAGTTCAGTGCTTATCCCACAACACCTCACCAGGACCCCCTCTGAGGGTCTCGTAAATACCAAAGATGTCCTGGTGGCGTTGAGGGTTAAGTGCTCAACTGCTAACTGTAAGGTTGGTGGTTCGAATCCACCAGCTGAGCAAAGGGAAACCAAAGAGGCTGTCCACTCCTGTGAAGATTTACACCCTCGGAAACCCTATGGGGGTGGTTCCACTCTGTGCTCCAGGGTCTTGAGGAGTTGTAACGGACTCGACAGTGGTGGTTTAGTAGAACCAGGCCAGGGGCCAGGGGGACTATGGCTGTGAATGCAGGACTCACAGTCTCTGTTCCCATGGAACTCACATGCCTCCAGCTGAGCGCAGGTGGTCTGTTTACACTGAAGTCTGATGGAGACAGAGATGAACAGGAGGTGGGGACCACTTGCGCTCTGCATAGCCAGGGAAGCTCTATGTGACAAGAAGACAGAGTGGTGAATGTTCTTGAAGCGATTTTAGTAGGCGCTAAGGCCCTGAGGTGGGAAGGGGTTGGGCTGTTCCAGGAAGTGGGAAAGCCAGGGAGCTGGTGGGGAGAGAGGTGAGAAGTCAGCAAGTTCTGCCACATGGAAGTTGGGTGGCAATGGGGAGTGGGCAGGGTGGGCGGGGGTTATGAGGGAGTCTCGGGCAGGTTTGAAAGGTGAGTGGAGAGTTCCATGAGGGACTGAGCACCCATCAGCATGCATTGGTAGGGCAGGGGCGTTCACAGTGGCCAAGGCGGAGGCCTCGCCTGTGGGAAGGGAGTTGTAAGCTGTGGTGGGCACAACCCAGGCCTGGGAGAGGAGACCCTACTGCTGGGCAGTTCCTCATCACTCAAATGCAGACCTTTGTTGGATAACGGCCTCAGGAGCACTAAACAAGTTCTGGGGGTGGATGTGTTTTGTCATGAGTGCTGCCTGGCTCTCTGGGTGCTAAGGGGTGGGGGCGGGGCAGCTGAGGGCCAGAGGGAAGAGGAGGAAGCAGTGGTGTTGTGCAACTGGCCCCTGGGCACTGATTCTGGAGAGCTTGGGGGCTGCTTTGCCTGGACACCAGGTATGCTGTCCAGGACAACCTAAACTGAGACCACAGTTGAGGTAGCCCGGTTTGGGAGGGACTACTGTCCCCTAAAAGGAGTCCTTGAGTATTACAAATGGTTAACGTGCTCAGCTGTTAACCAAAAGGCTGCAGGTTCAAGTCCCCCCAAAGGTACCTTGCTGAAAAGCCAGCCGTTGAGGAACCCAGGGAGTTCAGTTCTACTCTGGCACACACCGAGTCTCCATGACAACTGGCTTCCTCTTCCCTCATACCATGACCTTTGATGTCCCGGTTATTCCCAGCACAGTCTCTGCCAAGAGCAACTGGAGTGGATTTTCCCCACTGTTTTCCCCTATTAGTAGCATGGTGGGCTTGTTGGCCACCGAGCCCACAGCTGCTGATGTCCCTGGTCCCAGAGAGTGAAACACAGCAGACACTCCTGGGCCAGGAAGGCCGGCTGGAGTGTGGCCACACCTTTCTACCATGAGGCAGGAATGGCACTTCATCAGCTTGAGTTTCTCCAGAACCTGATGCCCAGAAGGTGTACGAGATAGGTCCGCAGAACTGAACTGTTAATTGTTCCACCACAGACGGGTCTCCCAAGGCCTTGTCAGGGTCACACCACCCTCCCAGGAGATGAGGGTTTGTTGTCAGAGACTCACAGACAGCGTAACGCAGGTGGTCTCCTTACCTCCCTGTCCTCTTTGTCTCCACTCACCTCCTCCTGAGCCTACGTCTGTAAAGTCAGCCTATAGCTTTTAGGGGGGCCCTGGCTCATCCCATTGGCCTACCTGTTGGTGGGCTCCAGGAGCTTCGTGGGGTCATGGCTGGTGAAGCTCTTCAGGGTCTTGGGTCCACTGGGCTCATCCCTCTCCGTCTTCACAAAGTCTGGAGGGAAAGAAGCAGGCATGAGGCTTTGAGATCCAGCCTCCAGCTCTTAGACCACACCCACACACTCACCCACGTGACTCCTAGTGCCAGAGTAGAACTGCTTCCTGGGGTTCCCAAGGGTGTAAAGCTTGATGGTGCAGACAGTCCCATTAGTCTGCCACAGAGTGGCTAGCGCGCTTGCACTGCAGACCTTGTGGCTGGCAGTACAATGCTTAACCCACTATGCCACCAAGACTTCTCTTAGACCCGAGATGGAGCAAACGGTGCCATTTGTATGCCGAAGCTGACACATGAACACTGGATGCTGAAGAGTTGAGCCAAGCAAGGTTCACAGGCCTCATCTGGGACCCTAAGAGTTCCGTGATTGGCTAATTATTCCGGCCACTGTCTTAGAGCGGGAAGTCGGCTTGTGTAACCCAGAGCTGTCATTCTCTGTGATGTTTCCAACTTGTTGGTCTCACCAAGGGACAAAATGGCAACTGTTTCTTGCCCGGTCAGAGAAAACCAAACATAAAAGGCGCAAGAGTATTCAGTACCCAAAGCCAGCCTTTCTGTAAGATTTAAAGGGGAGCTGGGACCTCCCCCTTCATTTCCAACTCTGGTTTGTAGTTGTGGTGGGGCTGAATCCCCATCACCCCACCCACTACCAGAATAGAGAAAGGACCTCTCACAGGACAGACAGGCCCACATTTCTCAGGGGTGGGCTGAGCCCTGGTTGGTGTGGGGGTGTCAGATATTTACATGTACTGACTTCTGCTCTTTATTAACGTTATGGGAAGGAACACTTAGGAATTCTGATGTGGCACTGGGGATAAATCTGCACCATTCACTAACTGGATGAATTTTAGCCTGGCTGCTTACTGGCTCTCTGCCTTGATTTCCCCATCTATAAAACAAAGATGACAACGCTGGCTCATAGGGCTGTTGTGAGAAATACTCAAGATAACATTTACAAGGTAATCAATTTACGATCCACTCACACATCATTATTTATATAGTTGAAACCCAATTCATGGGAGGAGGTGTTGCTATTTGAGTGTGTTTGAGCAGGAATTAAAGCAAAAGGGGAAAACCCACCTGTGGTCTGTGTGAAAAGGAAGAAACACTTGTTAACAAATCTTTGAGCAGCTCTGGAGCACTCAAATCTTTCATTACACCTGCTCACTTACTGACTTGACATTTCACATTTATGACAAGAGTAGAAAATCTACTATCGGACTATTTTTCACATGCACGATGCCTATCTGGCAGTAATGAGTAACATTAACTGTAATGATTAGGTTATATGACCACTTGGTTGGGTCACCATTCTTTATGGTTTGGCAGTTACATCATAATGCAGTTACCCTTTGTTTTTTGAGCTGATTGGTCATTCTTTGTTTTTGCCTAACACCAGGTTCTGCATAGGGATCTGGTCTTTGGAACCTAACTGCCATCAAGTGAGAAGAGCTTACATTTCAAGTGGAGCAATTTTAACCTAAATAAAATACCACGGAGAGTCATTTGTGTTTTTTTTTTTTTTTTTGAGAGTAATTTTTAAGTTTTACAATTTTTAGGTAGGATGAAGAGAAAATTCTAAATTCAAAATCTTTGTGTTTGCATTATTTTTAGGGTCTCTTGGTCACATTTCAATAGTCTCATAACTAAGCAGTGACAATTCTGATCTAAGAGATGAGGCATCTCAACTAGTCTAATGACAATCAGCAGGGTCACCTTTGGGGTCAAGGGATGACCTGCTGAGGCTGGCCTTTCATTTGGGGCAAGGGAAGCCCTCTGAAAGTTTGCTCCCCAAACTCAGCTTAAGTGATGCCCTTTCTGATGGTGGTGGTTATGTGGAGTCAGTGTTATAGCGACCCTGCCTAGGGTTCAGAGGCTGTAAATCTTTACAGGAGCAGAAAACCTCATCTTTCTCCCATGGACAGCTGGTAGTTTCGAACTGCTGACCTTGAGGTTTGCAGCCTGATTCATAACCACTATGCTACCAGAGCTCCTTGCCTTTTCTGATAGCCATAATAGATGGACCTCCCAATTGCCAACCAAAGCAAGTAAGTGCCATTGAGTTGGTTCCGACCCATAGTGACCCTGTATAAGGTTTCTAAGGAGCAGTTGGTGAGCTTGAACCACCAATCTTGCAGTTCAAACAACTTTGCAGTCTGGCACATTATCCCACGCCACACCAGAGTTCAAGCTGAAATAGCGGGCTAGGGATCTCTGCCAGGAAAGACAAGATAATAAGACACTGTCATTTTGGAATGTGGCAGGGTTAGAGTAGGCACAAGCTAAGGACATGTGTTCAGGATGATGACTGGGGCTTCTACATGTGTCTGGTGGATGAAAGAAATTTGGGAGGTCCAAAATCCTAGGTGGGTACCATGAGGGATGGATGCAGGTACCTATGAGGGGACCTCAGAAAGTTCATGGAAAAATTGTAATTTTTCCATGAACTTTTTGAAGCCTCTTCATATTTATCCGTGAAAGTTTAGCATGTGGCCACAGGGAAGAACAGGAACCACGTGGGAAATCCTAATGTAGCAGAGCTTTAGTCTTCTCACCCCGGAAACCTTCAAAGAACTAATCAATATTAGGTGGGTTAGTGATGGGGTGGCACTGTGGGTTAATGAGCTGGACCACAAGGTCAGTCTGGATCTCGAGGTCAGCAGTTCAAACTCACTAGCCGCTCCTTGGAAACCCTATACAGGGTCACTCTGATTCAGAACCGACTTTTTGACGGTACTTGGCATCAACAAGAATTCTATAAGGAGAGTGACCAGGCCTATGAAGGGGAGCCAGGATATTCATCCACTTCATGTCCTTAAAGACATCTGTCGAGTGGGGCCAGGGAACAGTGAGCCAGCTATATCTGCTGGGTGTTGGGCTTCAGTCAGGGACTCCTTAAATCAGTTGAGAGTTTGGTTAGAGTGTCTCTTGTTGTTGTTGTTTATGGTTTCCCAGGCACAGCTGGTGGGTTTGAATTGCTGACCTCATGGCTGGCTGTTCTGTGCTGATCCTATAGTGCCACACCAGGAGTCCACGCGGGAATTCTACTCTCAGGCCCCAGCAGAAGGATGATTCCAGTTTCACTAAGAGAAGCCACCTCTCCAACCCAGTGAGCGAGAGATGAGCCCAGGAAGAACGTCTTACCGTACAGCTTCTCTCTCTTCTTGCCTTGGGATGTCTGCAGCTTAATCTCCCCCCGGAAATGTCCCATCATCTCTCCGTGGTGGGTGAGAGGCGTATAGATGGGGAACTGGGTTTCTGTGGCCTCTAGCCTTAGGGCAATACAGCCCTCACCTGGCAGACAAGGGGGACAACAGAGAGATGGTTCATTTCCTGGGTCAACTTGGCCCACAGATGGTGCCCACTGGTTTGGCCAAACATTCGTCTAGTTGTTACCAGGGCGTAGTAGTTATTAGTTGCCATGGTAGCTTTATGCATAACAGATCGACTTGTTGCCCAGTCCAGAGTCATGCTAGAGTCCAGTGTTACGCCATTATAAAGGAGCGAGTGGCATGAGATGAACTCAGTATGGCAGATTGCTTCCCATAGTGAAATCTAGTGGGATGTCATCCATCAGTTAGTGGAAAAAGCCCAGACAATAAATAGATACTGTGCTCCCTTGTATCTGCAGGGAGGATTGGCTCGAAGCCCAACCCCTGTACCAAAATCTGGATGCTCAAGCCCCTTTTATAAAATGGCCTTGTATTTGCATATAACCTTTGAGCATCCTCCCAAATACTTTAACCCATCTCTAGGTTACTTATGAGCCCTATTATAACATCAATGCTATGTAAATACGGGTTTAGGGCCCCTCTAAGCCTTTCAGGGATTGCTGTGACTACTGTATTGCTTTTTTTTCCCCATCAAAGATTTTCCTCCCACTGTTGATTGACTCCACTGGGGCAGAATGTGCTGATGCGGAGTGCAGACTGTCTCACAGAACTCTTCCTTCTGCATGCTCCCCCTAGCCTGACCCATGGATCCTGGAATTGTCAGGCCTGACATCACACGTGCCAGGGCTTCGAAGTCCATCTCTGTTTCTGTATTAACATGCCTCACTGCTGCTGTTTCTCGAGGGAACCCCAAGTTAGACTAACAATCACACCAATCCTCACAGCTTCTCAGGAGAACGGCCGTGCCACTGGTCTACACAGCGAGCTCTGAGACCCCGCAACAATCTTTCAAAACAAGGCAAGGAAACAACTCCTCAGCCATACGGGGAAAAAAGGCTCAAAACCGACGATAGAGTGAATTCCATGTAAATTAATCAATGTAGAAAAGAAATAATAAAAATCACAGACAGCCCAACAGAACAGCAGAATGAGCTACTACTCTCATGGCTGTTAGGATGATAGCTTCCCAGGGTCTGAAGTGATGTAAGAAATGATCAAAGGTCAACAAATCTGATGGTAGAAAGATATCCACGTTCTGCACAAGGAAAACTGTGCAAATAAAAACGGGTACTGGCAGGGAGCAACATCTGGAGCCCAGCGGGGATTTGATTGAACTCTGTGAGAAGCACCTCAAAGTCAAATCCCCAACAGATGAATGGGTTGATGAGAGAAACAGACACTTCATCCAAGCAGCCACCTAATTGGTTGATTGTCCAGACCCTTCAGCCATCAAAAATGCAAATTAAGAGAGCAAGAAACAATCCCACTGTTCTCCATTTGATTCCAACTCTGAGACCCTGGAGGACACAGAAGCCCAGTAGGGTTTCCAAGGCTGTTCAGTTTTACAGAGGAGTCGTGGGGTGGCGCTGTGGGTTAATTTACTGAAGTACAAAGTCGGTTTGAACCGCAAGGTTGGTGGTTCAAGTTCACCAGTCGCTCCTTGGAAACCCTATACAGGGGTGCTAAGGGTCGGAATCAAGTCGATGGCACTTAACAACAACAACAAAAATCTTTATTGAAGCAGATTGTAACATCTTTCTTCCGAGGAGTGCACCTGATGGAGTGTAACCGATCACCTTTCACAGTAGCAATTTAGCACTTAACCCATGGCGCCACCAGGGCTCCTTAAGAAAGCATTAAAGATTTCTTTTACAGACATGAAATGAGCCCAAAACGGAAGAGGAAAGATTATTCCCAAGAGCGTACAACGATCAGTGGTTACCAGGGGTTCAGAAGTGGGGGTAGGATGCTGTGATGGGGTACAGGGCATCTTGGGGGACAGTAAAATGGTTTTCTATGACTGTGTAATAGTGGAGACATGACATTATGCATTTGTCCAAACCCATAACTAAACTGTGGATTCCAATCCCTGATACTGTATAAATATTAGTTCATCAATATTAACAGATGTAAGATGTTAATTTTCATTCTTCTTGAATCAACTATCAATTCCCATGGAAGCAGCAGTCAAGAAATCCAATGACATACTGCACTAGGTAAGTCTGCTGCACAAGACTGCTTTAAAGTTTTATAAAGCAAAGATGGCACTTAAAGGACCAAGGTGCATCTGACCCAAGCCATGGTATTTTCCATTACCTGATACGCATGTGAATGCTGGACAATGAATAAGGAGGACTGAGGATTGAAGCATTTGAACTATGGTGGTGTTAAAAGATATGGAATGAACCGTGGACTGCCAGAAAAATGAACAAGTCAGTCTTAGAAGACATACAACCAACCAGAATGCTCACTGGCAGTGAGGATGGGGAGACTTGGGCAAGTCATCAGACATGACCAAGTGTTAGAAAAGGACTTCATGGTTGATTCAGCAGCGAGAGAAAGCCTTCATAAGATAATGGATGCAACAGTCCACTCACAATGGTCATGAAGATGGTGCAGGACCAGAGAGAATTCTGTTCTGTTATTTACGCACTATATCACCATGAGTTGGAGTCAACGCAGAGGCAACCACCATCCAGCAACACAGAAAGATGCTAACAGGAAGAGAAACTGTGTGGGAGGCAGTAGAAAGCGGCCACATGGAAAATCTTTACACTTTCTGGGCAATTTTCTGGAAATCTAAAATGACTCTAAAAAACTAAAGTGTATTTAAAAAACAACAAGACAATACACAATGCCAGCAAAAACCCGGGGAAACTCGTACACAAGGAAAGGGCAAAGCCAACTGGTATAGCCTTTTTGGAAATCAGTTTGATAAGTGCTAAGAGTCACAGAACTGAGCTCCACGATGTAATGATTAGCACTCTGGACTCTGAACCCAGTCATTTGAGTTCAAATCTTGGTGGAACCTTAAGATTTGGACTCCTGGTATGGCCCTGTAGGGTCAGCACTAGACTGTGAACCACCAGGTCTGCAGTTCAGATCCACCAGCTGCTCCTCGGAAAACCTATACAGGGTCACTATGAGTCAGAACTGACTCGAAGGCACTTAACAATGGCAAGGTTTACAACATGTCAAAATCTCAGTTTTGACATCCTTGAGGGACTGAAATCATATTCCTTTCTTTTCAGTGGTCTTTAAGTTTGGGGAACAAAAAGAAAGTCTGAAGAGATAAGATCAGGGTTGTAGGGTGGTTGGGGTAAGGTTCCCCAACAAAATTCTCCTAGGACAGCCCTTGCAACCTTTAAAAAAATGAGCAAATACATTGTCATGATGGAAAGCGATTCCTCTGTGCAAGTTTCCTGGCCTTTTCCCCATCAGTGTAGTTTTCAGTTTCCTTCAAACTTCTTTGTTATAAGACCCCATGATCATCCTGTGTCCTTCAAGAAAAATCCATCAAGATCATCCCTTTGGTCCCACCCAAAACCAACTGCCAAAAAAAAAAAAAAAAGATGACTCCTTTGGAATCCCCAAAATATAATCTTCTGAGCTGAGCTCTCTGCTTTGAATTGAACTGGTGGTCCAACAGATCCCCTCCAAAGCCACTGTTTTGTGGGACACTTTTTTGATGGCACTTGTGTGACACTGTGAGTTAATGCGCCAGACTGCAAAGCCATTTGAACTGCAAGGTCGGCGGTTCAAGCTCACCAGCTGCTCTTCGAAAACCCTATACAGGGTCGCTATAGATCGGAATCGACTCGATGGCACTTCACAACACAACAACAATGAGATTAAGACAAGTGTAGTACTGAGAGAGCTTGTGTGCAGTCATCCACGGATCACGGAGACATGTTTCAACATTCTGATTGGAACAAAGCCATGTATGTATGAACCAGAATTCTAGTAACAGGTTTTGATAATTCCTATTTCCTGCCAGCAAACATCCCCTCGTCCATGGCAATTCCATCACCCGGACCTCACAATGGATGACACCCCTGAACCGCAGCCAGCAGGTCCTCAGACTCAGACTCAGAGCCCCTCGCTTACCTTTGCTCATTTCTCTCACCTGGGCTGCGTTGGGAGGAGACTAAGGACATAGATTCTGGGGCTTGGCTGCCTGAGTTCACAGTTACCTTAGCTAAGTCACCTAGTAGCTGTGTGACCTCACCTCTCTGAGTCTCCGCTTTCTTATACTAATTGGGAGAGTAATACCTGCTTCCTTAGGTTGCTGTCCGTATTAAATCCAGTAATACCTGCAAGGCACATGGCACAGAGCCTAATGAGGTGACCTATGGGGAATTGGCCTTCTGGTTCCCTGGACAGAGGATGAGAGTGTGGGGCAGCAGGTGGGTGGGCTATTCGGGAAGCAGACATTATTAGCTCCCTAACATCAGAGGCCGCCTAGTGCATATGAGCTGGAAGCACACCTGTGCAGTACCTGTCCCGGGTCCCTTACCGTAGGACTCGTCACTGTCAGAAGACTTAATGCTGATCAGGATGTGCTGGTCCAGTAGGTACTCGGGGTCCGAGATAATGGGCTTCAGCTGTAGGGAGAAGGGCAGGGTTAGAGTTGACAGGTGAGGGACAGGTGAGGGACAGGTGTGGGACAGGTGAGGGACAGGTGTGGGACAGGTGGGGACAGGTGAGGGACAGGTAAGGACAGGTGAGAGACAGGTGGGGACAGGTGGGGGCAGGTGAGGGACAGGTGGGGACAGGTGAGGGACAGGTGGGGACAGGTGGATGAGGACCGGACTGCTTGAGGCAATAAGGTTGTTTGGTGTTTCTTATTCTTCAGTCTGGAATCTCTGGTCTTGACGCCCAAGACAGTAGGAAGGGACACATACATACACCTACTCGGCCAAGGCAGGGACTAACTTCCTGCTGACACACTGCAGTACAGGTCTCCTAAGTTGGGCTCTGGGGACCCAAGACCTGGGGGATGGCCTGACCTCAAATCTGCCCTGACCTCCCTTACTCTTACCCCCTCATTTACTATCCCATGCTTAATCAGAATGGTGGGATTAGGGGCCAGTTGACATGTAAATGTGGGGTTTGGGTGAAGAAGCCAGGTGACCCCCATGGAAGGACGGGTGAGCTCCCTGCACCCCTGCACAGCAGAGACAGTCATTTTCCTCAGTCACCCCCTGACTGCTCCCCATCTAGGAAGGATTGGGGGGTCTGCATTCACGCCTCAGTTTGGCCTGAAGTGTCCCGGGGGGGTGGCAGTGTAGCTCCAAGATGACAATGTCTGGATTCCAGCCATCCTCACTTCTTGCTCTGCTATTTTCTGTGAGCAGAAAGAACCAGATGGCATGCTGGCTGGCTGCGCTCTCGTGCCTCCATTGGCGTCTGTCAGTCTGTCACACTGTGGTTACTTGTATGCTGCTGTGCTAAGGAAACTATGCCATTGGGTCACTCATGGTGGATAGGGTTTCAGCAGAGCATCCAGATTAAGAAGAAGGGATAGACAGATTAGTCCTGAAAACCTTATGAATAGCAGTGGAACATTGTCTGACATAGTGTTGGAAGATGAGCCCCTCAGGTTAGAAGGCACTCCAAATAGGACTGAGGAAGAGCTGCCTCCCTAGAGTAGAGTTAACCTTAACACCATGGAAGGACCAAAGCAATCAGGACCTTTATTTGCTGATGGCGCACAACTCAGAATGAGAATAAAAGCTGAAAACAGCCATTGATAATCAGAATGTGGAATATATGAAGTATGGATCTAGGAAAATTTTAAGTCATTAAAAATGAACTGGAACACATAAAGATTGATATCCTAAGCATTAGTGAGCTGAAACAGAAAGGCATTGGCCATTTTGAACCAGACAATCATAGAGTTTGCTATTCTGGGAACGACAAATTGAAGAGGACTAGCGTCACAATTCATCATCAAAAAGAACATTTCAAGATCTATTTTGAAGTACAATGCTGTCTGTGATAGAATTTCTTCATATACCTACAAGGAAGACCAGTTAATATCACAACTACTCAAATTTACCCACCAACCACCAAAGCCAATGATTATGAAATTGAGTAACTTATACCAACTTCTTCAGTCTGAAATTAATCAAACATGCAATTAAGAGGCATTAATAATTACTGGTGATTGGAATTCGATAGTTGGAAACAAAGAGGAGGGACTAGTAATTGAAAATATGGCATTAGTGATAGAAATGATGTTGGAGGCAGCATGAGAGAATTTTGCAAGACCAACAACTTAACCATTGCAAATACTTTTTTCAACAACATAAACAAGTACTATACATGTGGACCTCACCAGATGGAATATACATGAATCAAAGCAACTACATCTGTGGGAAGAGACAATGGAGAAACTCAGTAACACCAACTAGAACAGGTCAGGGTTCCACTGAAGACTAGACCATCAATTGTTCATCTGCACGTTCAGACTGAAGCTCTTCTAAATTGAAACAAGTCTATGAGAGCCGAAACACAACCTTTTGAGTACTGCTATTTGTTGGTGTTAAGTACCGTTGAGTTGTTTCTAACCCATAGCAACCCTGTTTAGGGTTTCCAAGGAGCAGCTGGTGAACTTGAACCTCTGACCTTGTGGTTCAAATGACTTTGCAGCCCAGTGCATTAGCCCACAGCGCCACACCAGGACTCCAACCTTGGGTATCTCTCACCTGAATTTAGAGACCATCTCAAGAACAGGTTTAATGCATTCAAAACTAATGATGACCAAATACATGAAAACTAACTAATATCAGAACTAACATCAGACATGAAAAAAGAAAAAGGTCATTAGAAAGACAGGAAAGAAAGAAAAGACCAAAGAATTTCAGAAATGACTCTGAAACTTGCGCTTGAATGCAGAGTCCTAAGTGAATGGAAGAAATGATGAAGTAAAAGAGCTGAAAATTCCAAAGGATGGCATGAGAAGACAAAACATTATAATGAAATATGCAAAGACCTGGAGTTGGAAAACCAAAAAGGGAGAACACGCTCAGCATGTCTCAAGCTGAAATAGCTGAAGAAAAGAATCCAAGCCTCAACTTATAATATGGAAGGAAAATATTGAATAATGCAGGAAACATGGACAGAAACACAGAATCACTGTACCAAAAAGAACTGGTCAATGTTCAATCATTTCAGGAATTGATGGAAATAGTTCTCATAAGTCTACACGACAAAATCTGGAAGACAGCGACCTGGTCAACCAATTGGAAGAGATCCATATTTGTGCCCATCCAAAGAAAGGTGATCCAACAGACTGCAGAAATCATCGAACAATATCATTAATATCAAGAAACCTTCATAGCATTGTGGATTATAAACTGGGTTACTAATCTCAAGGTCATTAGTTCGAGTCTACCAGTCGCTCCTCTAAAGAGAGACAAGGCTTTCTGCTCCTGTAAAGATTGGAAGCCTCGAAAGTGTGAGTCGGAACTGATTCCACGGCCCACAGCCACCACCGCTACCATCATTAATATCACACACAAATAAAATTTTGCAGAAGAAAATTTAAAAATGATTATAATAGTACATAGACAAAGAACTGCCAGAAATTCAAGTCAGATTTAGAAGAGGATGTGGAAAGAGTGATATCATATGGATTTTGGCTGAAAGCTGAGAATACCATAAAAAAGCTTACTTGTGCTTTATTAACTATGCAAAGGCATTAGACTGTGTGGATCATAAAAAACGACACATAACACTGAGAAGAATGGGCATTCTAGAACCCTTAATTGTGCTCATAAGGAACCTGTACACAGACCCAGAGGCAGTCATTAGAACAGGTACTGAATGGTTTAAGATCAGAAAAGGTATATCCCAGGGTTGTATTATTTTACTGTACTTATTCAATCTGTATGCTGAGCAAATAATCTGGAAGCTGGATTGTATGAAGAAGAACATGGCAGCATCAGGATTGGAGGAGGATTCATTAACAATTAAGTGTGGCTCTGTAGGGTAATATGCTGGACCACAAGGTCAGTTTGAGCTACAAGGTCAGCAGTTCAAACCCACCAGCTGCTTCTCGGAAACCCTGTAAAGGGTCGCTATGAGTCAGAATCAACTTAATGGCACTTAACAACAACAACCTGACTTGCTGGAAATAAAGAGAATCTGAACTACTTACTGATGAAGATCAAAGACCACACCCTTCAGTATGGATTGTGCCTCAATGTAAATAAAACAAAACTCCTCAGCACTGGAAGAATAAATAACATCATGATAAATGGAGACTAGATTCAAGCTGTCAAAGACTTCATTTTGTTTGGATCCACCATCAATACTCTTGTAAGCAACAGTCAAGAAATCAAATGACATATCACAGTGGGCAAATCTGTACCTCAAGACCTCTTTAAAGTGTTCAAGAACAAAGAGATCACTTGGACGACTAAGATGTACCTGACCCAGGCCATGGTATCTTCAATGGCTTCATATGCATGTGAAAGCTATTGTTGTTGTGAAGTGCCATGGCGTTGATTCCGACCCATAGCGACCCTGTCTAGGGCTTCCAAGAAGCAACTGGTGAGCTTGAACCAACGACCTTGCAGTTCAAACGGATTTGCAGTCTGGTGCATTAACACACAGCGCCACACCAGGACTCCAATGTGAAAGCTAGAGAATGAATAAGGAAGGCCCTAGAAGAACTGATGCATTTGAAATGTGGTGTTGGCCAAGTATACTGAAAATACAGTGAGCTGCCAGAAAAATAAACAAATCTGTCTCGGAAGAAGTACAATTTAGAAGTGAGGATGATGAGACTTGGACTCACATACTTTGGACATGCTATCAGGAGGAAAAAGACAGCATGCTAGGTAAAGTCAAGGCTCATCCAAAAAAGAAGACAACCCCCTAGGAGATGGATTGACAGTGACTGCAATGACAGACCACAACATTAACAACAACTGTGAGGATGAAGCAGGAACCAACAGTGCTTCACAGAACTGGACGGGGCTGCTAGGAGTCAGAATGGACGATCCGGCACCTAACAACTGCCCACATGCTGCTTGCAGCTCAGTATATTCCCACCTTTTAGGGCTTGCTGGGGGACTCCTGAGGTGGTGCTGTGGGCTACTGCGCTGGACTACAAAGTCAGTTTGAACCACAAGGTCGGTGGTTCAAGCTCATCAGCTGTTCCTCAGAAACAGTTCCTAGACAGGGTCGCTATGGATCAAAACCGACTCGACAGCACTTAACAACAATGAATAAGCACTGGATTGCTAACCATAAGATAGGAGGTTCAAACCCACCAGCTGCTCCTTGGAAGCTCTATAACGGTCACTCGGAGTTGGAACAGACTTGATGGCAGTTAACAAGGATTGAATCATGTCCCCCCAAAATATGAGTTGTTAATCCTACCCTCTATGCTAGTGGTTGGAGTTCTGGTGTGGTGCTGTAAGAAAAACACCAGACTGCTAACCACAGGTTGGTGGTTTAAACCCACAAGCTGCTCCTTGGAGACCATATACAGCAGGGGTGGGGAACTTTTTTTCTGTCAAAAAGTATGACATCATTTGTGGGCTGTACAACATGATCCACTTAAACATCAGTCTGTTCTATTTGGTCAAAT